TATAGCCTTCCACGGTCTCGTCGTGTCCAAGTTGCACGTCAAAGAACGGGGATGCGAGGATGTTCGTCCGTCCTTGTTCGTCGAAGAGGAAGCCGTGGTCGATCTCAGGATCGGCCATGCATAGTTGAAGAGAAAGGGGGCAAATGTTGTCTTCTCTTCTCTCGGCCCCAAGTGTTATGAGTATCCGAACTTCACCCCGAGAGGAAAAGGGGAGGGTCGGCCAAGGTTGGGAGAGAGGGGGCGGGTGGATTGGGAGAGGGATGTTAGGCTAGATGAGGGGAAGAAGGGACTTACTCAAATCTGAAATTAGTTTCAAATTTTAAGTAAATTTGGAGGGAAGTTAATTAGAATTTGAATTTCAAACCTCATGTGATCAATGCCATAAAGTGGCATTTAATGGGAATTGATCCCAAGCAAGGCCGGCGGCCAAGAGAGAGGAGAGGAGGGGATTAATTCACAAATCTGAAATTAATTTCAGAATTAAGTAAATTAGAGGGAGGGGAATTTGAATTTGAAAATTTTGAATCAAGAGCCTTGAATGCATTAATGGAGCATTAAAGGGAATTTCACCCTCATAGGGCCGGCGGCATTGTGAGAGGGAGAGGAGTGATTAGGGAGAGGAATTTCTTTCCAAATGAGTTTGAAACTTATGGGGGGAAAATAATGAGTCATCCAATTAGATTTCGTTTGAATTTTGAATTCGAAAAAAACTTCCTTATTTGGAAGTTTGCAAATAAGGAAAGTTTTTGAATTTGAACTTTGAATTTCAAAATTCAATAACTCATGCTTTTAATGCGGGACCTCAATCAAGGAGCCATTATGATGATTGACATCTTCATCATGGCTTGGGGCAAGGTGGTGGCCGGCGGTTGGGTGGTGAAAGAGGTGTGGCCGGCGGCTAAGGGAGAGGCCGGCGGTTGATTCCCTTAGGTTGTCGGCGGGATGAAATTGGGGTTCGAATTGGGAATAGACGGGAGGGGAATTTGGTGTTGGATGAGGATGAAAGAAGCACCGATAGAATGGAAACAAACTTAACCACGAGCCGCGGACTCTTCCAACGACTGGTGGGCCTTGCGATTTGCTCCCCTTGAGCTCTCTTCCCTCTCAAGCACTCATGCTAGAAAAGTAGAAATAAAACATAAATCTTCTTTCAAATATTAATTAACCCATTACATAAGAAATGGCCATATATATAGGCCTCAAAATGACAAAGGAAACAAAAGACTAAAATGCCCCTTGGGCTACAATAGCGACCAAATACCCATAAGGGTAAAAACGGAAAACTTGAAAAATAAAATAAATTACTACATAACATGACAAAAAAAATAAAACTCCTGATCGTGGCCATCGATCTCCGGTGTCTCCGATGGCACACGTGTCGAAATCACTGACGATGTCCTCATCAGTAATAGTTGGTCGCTATTATTGTTATAGTACTGTGATAATAATGTGTTTGTGTAAAAGACAAGTAAAGACTGATTGACTCGTTGGTTAGAGATTAATTGACCTGTATAGTATGATTGGCCGACGAACTTTTCTTTAAATACTATGGTTGGGTGTTATCTTCTACTGAAACAACGATATAATGATTGAGAGTTAATTATAAGGGTTTATTAATATGTTGACGAGCAAAGAGTAACGACTATGTAAGCCAACGGTTAGCGACTACCCATTACTAGTTATTGAAAAATGCTGTGATAGCAAAAACTTTTAATTTGTTTTATGTGACTATTGAAATGCATATTATAGATTCATTGTTAATGTACGATTTTACTGATACTGTATTGATTTATTATCACTGTATGGATTTATTATTATTACATTATTTTACTGTTACCAATACATAAATTGATATTATTACTAAACTATTACTGATACCACTGTCACTATTACTATTACTGTTATTGATTCACCGTACCAATATTAAGCATGTGATTAAGATATTGATTTGATACTGATGTAGAATAATTATATAGCATGTGTGCATCATTATAGGGTTTTACTACATTGACATTATTCCGACAGTCTTTACTGATGCTTTGATTTGTCGCTTTATATGATTTCTTTATTGATTGATAGTACTAATACAACGTTTGTATTATCGATTCGACACTTATATTGGTTTTTTGGTTTTCCGCTGTCCTATTTTATCGGCTTCCATATCATATTGTTTTACTATTTTATAGGATTTATTGCTACTGCATGTGATTTTTTCTTTTTCTGCACTAATTCAATGATTATATGAATGCTACTACTATGATTTGGTCGCTGACATGCATATTATTCATTTATCGTACTTTGAGTTCAGTTGTAGGTTTTGGTGACCTGCTGAGCTTTTTAGCTCATTATATATGGTTTAAATGATTTTAAGTTAGGGAAGAGATTCAGGAGTATGAGCTTGATCAGGATTCCTCTTTCAAATTTTTATTTATTTTAGTTATTCTTTTATACTAAAAAATGAAAAGATATGTTTTGGTTATATATAATTCATGAGTATTATATATGATATATTTTTTTTGTCGATGAATATAGATGCGTATTGATCTTTTGAATTATAGAATTTATTTTTCATTGTTTATTACCAACAACAACAACATCAAGCCTTTATCTCACTATGTTGGGTCGGTTACATGAATACTTTTTCTCTATTGTGTTATGTTAAGAGTCAAATTCTCATTTAAATCTAATAAATAAAGGTCATTTCTAATATCTTCTAACCAAGTATTTTTAGGTCTATCTCTACCTTTCTTAACATAGGCCAAATCTAATACATCTACTCTCCTAACAGGGTCATCAGAAGGCCGTCATTTTATATGACCAAACCATCTAAGACGACTCTCTCTAATCTTATCTATCACTGGAACTAGAAAAGAAAGGGGTTAATAATACTTATATTTTAGTCATTAGGAATATGTATACAAGAGCTGTTTATTACTGAGAAATGAAATTAGATAGCTCTAGTTATTGTATAATAAAAGATAAAAGAATAAATTTTTTTAAATTAGATTCTGAGGCGTGACAGACCACCCCCTTCAGGATTCTCTATGTGAGAGACCCACCACATTTGATTCATTACGGATAGAGCACTACACCAGTGTCTAGTTTAGAACAATACTTAGAAGAGAGGGATATGGTATTATTTAAGCTCAAGGGACATTTGTTGAGAGCACGTACAGCAAATCATCAATAGGAAGGTTGATGAACACGGAAGAGAAGTACACTTCGAGCAAGGAGATATGATTTATTTAAAATTGAGGCCCTACAAACAGAAGACACTAGCCAGGAGGATAAATGATAAATTGTCTCCACGATACTTTGAGCCTTATGAGGTCTTGGAGCGCATTGGAGCAGTGGCCTATTGATTGAGGCTAATACCCTCATCAGCTTTGCCCCAGTCTTAAATGTCTTACAACTTACGAAGGCGATAGGAGATCACACACCATCTTCACTACCCTCAACTTTGACAAAGGACATGGAGGTCATTTTGGAACCCCTAAGAAGTAACAGGTGTGCGCAGAGGAGTGCAAGGTTACGGGAGGTGCTAATCAAGGATTTGCTAGAGCATGATGCCACATGAGAGTCATACCAGACGATAAGGAGACAGTTCCCAACCTTCCACATTGAGGACAAGGTGCACCTTTTTTTTTAGTGGGTGGAGACAATATTGTTACGTGCGATTCAGAAGAATCGAACCCAGCCCAGGCTGGGCGGGAGCCCGGAGAGCAAGAGGGGGGTTCGACCCCCCTTATGGGGCCAAGGAAGGATTTATTTCAATATATAAGAAATAGAAATAGAGGGAGAGAGCTTTAGGATGGTTTTAATCATAATTTGGGAGGAATTGATTTAGGAAAGAGATCCAAATCAAATTCAAATTGGGGAGGGAATCAATTAAGGAAGAAGTTGGTATAGGAGGGAATTTGGGAAGCCTATTTAGGGCTAGTCATATTGTATTTTGAGTTTATGTTATTGAATTTCTGCTATAGTTTGTTCTTTGTGAGTCTCCTAGCGGCATCTAGGTTTTGTGGGAGAGCTGATCCATCTCTCAAAGAGTAGATCACTTGTAACTTTCATTATTGTTTAAGTATTAATAAAAAATCAGTCTTATCATTAAGTTCCTGCAGTTTTATGCTTGTTCGTTTACTTTTTTTACTTCCAAGACGCATTACAAAACAAATCTTGAGTTTGGGTGAGATACCTGACCCAATTTGGTCCTTTCTTCAGTAGAAGGCTAGGGTCATCCAAATCGGTTTGAACTTTATTTGAAATGATTCTATTGATTTGTCTGTACTTCAATATGTATGTCCCAATTATATCTTTGCTTTTCCTACATTTGTTTCCATGATGAAATGTTTCCACACCCGATGTTTATTATTATCTTTTTCATCTTTTTTTGTGAAGTGTAAATGATAAGAATCCTAGTTTTGTTGTTAGTTTTAGTTATCCATTCCCATAAAATAAAATTAAATCAATGGAATATCATTTTAGTTAGTTTTTAACTATCTTTCTGTTAGAAGATACATAGCTTTTGTGCATGGAATTTTGATTATAGTTTTTGAGCTCCATTCCCATTATATGTTTACGTAGATTTTTGTTTTTTCAAATTTACCTGAACACCATGTCCTCCTTACTAGTTGCTTATGATCCTAGTTCTCTGTTATGACTTTCATTGTCTCAATCTAGTTGTTCTTGATACTACAAAAGGTAAAAATATCTATTTTAAAAATTAACTTAATTGTTAGTCAGCATTGAGGTTTACAACGGTTTTTTTGTACTTCCAGCAAACTAAGTTGGTCAGCCATGCTGACTCTTTCCTTGTTATCTAATTTCCTTATCTAATCTTTTTTGTGTGTACAATTATCATATGCTTTTCTTTTGTCACTTGTTTTGCTGCATCAATTTGTTGATATTATCACGTTGTGGTTAAGCGCATAGTTCAGTTTTCTTACTCGCTTGGGAATTAAAAGCTAAGGATTTCGATTTGAAGTTTATATGTCTTGCAGGATGAGTTTGCTAGCCTTCCGGCTATTGTTCCACAAGGTCCTATTGCTATCTTAGGTTTGGTAAGTCACGTTTCTGGTATAAATTATGTTTTGCTTCCACTTTAAATTCGTATTAGAATAATCAATTAATCATAGAATTCGCATCCACTTCTTCATAGGGTGCAGGAACTGCTGCTCATTTGATGCTGGACTTGTGGCCTTCAAGACGTGTTGAGGGTTGGGAGATTGATGGAATCGTAAGAAGCTTATTCTATATCACTATCCCTTATTTAAGCAAACCCCTCTTAGATGTTTTTAACTCTAGTTGTTATGTATTGGAGCCTAAATTTTGTCCTGTGCAGAAAATGCACTACACAAATTTAGTTGCGGTTCTCCTATTGCCCAATAGTATATGACATGTAAACTTGGCACTTTGGAGACAACTAATGACATTCATTTGTTCCTTCGCATTTCTTTGTTTTGAGGAGAAACCGTTGCCATACAATAAACCTTTTTGATTTGTCACAAATACGATGGATCAGTATAACTACCTTGCCAGTTGACATAAGATGGACAAATTCAGCCAAACTTTGTTAACTGTTTGATGACTAAAAGGTGACTTTGTGTTGGAAACTGGCATTGCATTGGATTGATTTTTTTATTCCCTTAACAACTGTAATTAAAGTCATACTTTTTATCCAATAAATTCATACCTGGTGGATGTTTTTCCATTTGTAGCAGGTGATTATTTGCTTAACTACACAATTTCTATGTCTAATTGTCAATGGTGCTTCCTGTCTCTCAGCTTGGCAGGAAAATAAGCATGAGGGGGGAGAGGAGCGGCCATTCACGTTGGAGAGAGAATCATGAAATATTCAAGATTCTACTTATCATAATTAATAATACTTTATTTAAAAAAAATCATAATTAATAACAAGCAAAATGTGTGCTGATGTCAAAGAGAAGATTAGATCATGACCAATAGAAGTGAGATTTATAATCCTTCATCAATCAATGCTTGTACACTATATGAGGGAGAGTATTTGCCCATTCAGTGAGCGCTATATAAATATTAATAAAAGAATGAAATATTTCGACTATGAGTAGATTCACTATTCAGAGGCATTCTTGAATTGATGATGAGACAGGCTTCATTTGGGACAATTTTTTTACTGCTTTCTAAAGCAGCTTTTTAATACAATTTTTTTTTTGTATTAAAAAGTTGTTTTAGAAAGCAATAAGAAAGCTGTTCCAAATGAAACCTTAGATTGTATTGCTTTGTGAACTTGAGCCTTCTAAGAAGTTGGGTTTTAGTTGTCATTGCTTAGAAGATGAAGCCTTAATACTCTTCCTTTTGGAAGACGGTTTCTCTTGTATGAAACAAGATGATTTTTTTCTTTGATGGGCTCTCCTCCCAAGATCATTGTCTCTTTATTTTTCAAAGCTCGTCTTCTTGCTCTTTGTTTCTAATTCTCCCCTATCATGTAAGTCCCTTTGAGTGAGTTACATAAAGGGCTTTAATAGGTGTGGAGGAACCTGAATGGATGTTGTTGGCTTTAGGAAAGTGGACAAATATTTGAGGTGATGATTATAGGAGTTCAAATGATGATTATGCAATGGGTTGGAGAACATGTATGGGTGACGGCAATTCTTCCAAAGGTATAGAATTGGCAATATTCTGTTGTTAGAGACAAACGTGCATCAAATTATTGAGTACAAAGTGACGAGCCTTCAGAATACGTAAATTCCGAAAGACCTTCTCATTGGCTGAGAGGGACATCTGAAAGAACTTGGGCTTAGTAGCTAAGAAGAATTCTGAGTTGACACAACAACTTGATCCCGGGAAGGGAAGAAGTGCTCTATGGCTGTGAAAGTTTTCAAGTGTGAAGAGAAGGTTTTTGATGAGCTAGAGAGAGAGAGAGTTTGACCTTTACTTTTGCCAAGTCAACTCATCTATCAAGGATGAGGGCATTTAAAATATAATTATATTTTTCTCCCTTATTTTGGGAGCCTATAATAATAGGGTTCCAAATAAAAATTGCTCGCTTATCTACCTCTTCACTATGAGTCCTAAACTATTGTTATTGGTGAACCTTGCAAAACAATCATGACTCCGAAAGACCATTCCTTAATTGTGGGTTTTTTCTATTTCTTTTTTTTTTTTTTTGAGCCCTCGAGGATTAGCTTTGAATTAGTCTTAGAAGTTTGATAGTGAAGTGTGAATGGAGGAAATCTTCCTACTTAATAGGATAATGAATCATTTAGACATTATGATGTAGGCCGGGGGGGGGGGGGCCAAAAAAAGGGGGGGGGGGGGTCAAATCAAGGGGGGGTCCTTTTGTTCTTTGGGTAGCTTGCTATCTCTTGCTTTGGGCCTTGACTGCTCTCGGTTTGGGCTTTGGTTGTTCTTGTCTTGAGCTAAAAAATTGGGATCTTCTGGGTTCTAGCTCATAAATGTTTGAGCTGATGTTTTAGCTCATTAATTGGAGGAATTATTGTACTCAAAAGCTCATTATGTAGAGTTAAATCTTGTTTCTTCCCCTTCTTGTGCCTCCTTGGTTTCTTCATTGTGAATAATGGCTGTGGGCTGGTTGCCTTTTCAGTTTTCTCCCTGGCTTCTTTCCCGTGACTTCCCTTGTCCCTTTTCCTGTGTTGGCTCTTCGGGTCCCTCCTTGGCTGTGTTCCCGTGGTTCCCTAGCTGTGTCCCGTGGTTTCTCCAACCCGTTTTATGGGCTGTTTTTTTGGAGCAGCTTTGTGGTGTCTTTTGCCCTTCTTCCTCCCCTTACCTGATTGGTTTGGTTGGAGATTGATGTTGGCTGTTTGGCTCCGCTTTTTGCCTATATATGTGAGAAGTTTTTGTCATTGAAAAGGTTGTTGTGTGCTGATTTTTGAAGTAAGTGATGCAAGAAAACTAGAAAAGAGAGACAAATTGGAGAACACCAGGATAAGACTTAAACCAAACTGGATTCATATAAAGCTTGCAAACATCCAAACAAACTTAAGAGAAATATAAGCCAAATCGAAGAAAACAAAATAAGAATATAAAAACACTATCCTCAGTACAACTGTCTAGCGGTCTCCTCACATGCAACGAAAGTAGGAATTTTAAGAAAATTGTGCTTAGGCTTGCAAATCAATGACCACTGCAAAAGAGTCCAACGTCCTTTCCAAACTCCTCTGGCAAATGTCTCCAAACTTCAGCCAACAAACATTTCCAAAGCTTAAGAAGAATGATACAAGTGGAGTGGAACTTGCGTAGAGGAGTTAGAAGCCAAGACGAAATAGAGAAGAGAAGAAGGGGATGGAACAAGCTCTCAAGCTTTTCCAAGAAGAAACTCTCAGGTTTTGTAGAGTTTTTACTCACAATTTCAACAACCTAATCTATGCCAAAACATCTCCATTTTATAGGCAAAAGAGAGGTACCAAATAGCCATAACACCTCCAACCAAACCAATTAGATTTAGGGAAATGAAAGGCCAGCAGCCACAACACAGCAGCCCCCATTCGGTACAGGAAACAGAGAAGAGAAGGCCACAGGAAACCCAGCCATCAAGGGAACCGAGGAGCCAGCACATAGAACGGAACATCAGCACGGGAAAACAGCGAGGGGCCACGGGAACAGCAAAGGCCAAGAGGAAACCGAAGAAACAAAGGGAGAAGAAGGTCAAAGTCCACTCCAAAATGAATCCAAGACTTAATAGCAAACCTTTTTGAATTAATGAGCTAGGAAGTGCAATAAATCCCCCAATCATTTAGCTAAACTTCAGCTCAACATTAATGAGCTAGCACCAAGTAGAACCCATCACTTTTTTTAAGCTAAACACCAAGTAACCAAGGCCATACTCAAGAGCAGCCACCACACCAAACCAAAAATCAGCAAGCAGCCCAAGGACAAAGTGGACCCAAAAGCCAGCAAACCCATGGTTCGCCATGCCAAGCACCTTCCTACCATGATCTAGGGGTGTCAATTCGGGTCAACCCGCCGGGTTCGGGTCGAACCCGACCCGACCCGTATCTAAACGGGTCAACCCGAACCCGACCCGTTGGTCGGGTCCGGGTTGGGTTGTCGTGTCGTGTCAAATATTGACACCCCTACCATGATCATTGGAAGCCCAACCATCATAGGATAGTAAAATAAAAATAAAACACAACTAATATTATTCAAAATACAATAAAACATAAATAAACCAAAATAATTGAATGCATCAGTAAGAAAACCTGAGGGTTTTTTCTTCTTTGGGAATAGCTTGCGAGCTATGTCCCGCATCTCTTCTCCTCTCTATAGCTTGTGAGCTATGTTTCGTCTCGGCTTCTAATCTCATTCTTATTCTCGCAAGTATCCACCCCACCTGTATCCTTCTTCTCAAAGCAAATGAAATGCAAGTTTAGGTTTTTATTATATAAGTTTGTTTGTGTCGTTTGTAAGTGTCAAAGTTTGTAAGTCCTCTTATATTATAAAGAGAAGTAGTTTTTTGGTTTATTAGTTGTATTTTGTCTAGTTTTTGAGAAATTGTGTCATTTCTATTTCCTAGAAAGGTTTAGTCTTTTGCTTGCAAAAAATTAGGGGTTTTCCTATTTTTTTGCTTTCATCACATTATGATGGATCAATTTGTGATGAATATGATTATTTTATTATGTATGATGGGTTGATCCCAGTAAAATTTTGTTGATTTGAGTGGATCAGTGGTGGGCTATGATATGATTGGATAGATATGAACTATGGCAGAATTGATCCTAAACGTTTGCTGAGTAGTTTTGGAATGGGCTGAGCACATTATAAGGCTAAGCACTTTTGAGCCATTGTTGAATACTTTGAGAGGATGTGAGATCAAATAGAATAAATATGATGCTGAATTAGCGTTGAATCCATTTGAAATATATCTCGGATGATGTATTGACATGGTTGAGTAGATTTATGGAAAAGATAAAGTAGATTTGGGACTACTCTAAAGCTAGTCTAATTGGAAACTACTAGCTAAAGCAAGGAAAATCCCACTTAAATTAATGCACACAACTTCCTAAGGGGAGCAACAAATCCTCCCAAGGGTAGTAATCAGCCTCATTCCAAATGAATTAGGGGAAGCTTCTAATTGAAACATACGGGCTGCTTCTAATAGAAGCAGTGAGACCTAGTCAAATGCAAAATTACATTTATGTTACCAAAATCCCACTAAACTAAAACCCCGCTAACCTAAAGTTCAACCGGAACTTCTAATAGATGTTGTAAGTCCGACTTTACTTAATACGTTAGGGGAAACCTCTTGACAAAAATAACCTAACCATAAATCCCTGATAATGGGCCACCTCTAATAAAAGCCGTAAGTCTCACTTTAATCAGAGCGTTAGAGAAAACTTTCATAGAACAAATAACATATTCCTTATCATCTTGGCAACCTCTAATAGAGGCTGTAAGACCTGCTACATGGGCTACTTCTAATAGAAGCAGTAAGACCCACTTTTCAAAACCTTTTAAACCCTACGGGCTAATTTTAATAGAAGCAGTAAAACCCACCTTTCAAAACCTTTTAAACCCTATAGACTACTTCTAATAGAAGTAGTAAGACTCACTTCTCAAAACCTTTAAACCATATATAAGCCACTTTTAAGTGAAGCTGTAAGACCCGCTGTACAGGCTACTTCCAAGGGAAGTCGTAAGACCCGTTACACAGGCTACTTTTAACAAAAGCCGTAAACCTTGACCCCAAATCTAAATCAAACAGTCGGGTAACTTCTAAATGAAGTCACAAATCCCAAACTAAATTAAATACCGAGTATTATAACAGATATAAACTCCAAATTATAACAAAATTAAAACTGACACCTATCCAATTCAGTTTACTCGGGATCCCTAAGAGGAGGCAACCCATGACTACTAATCAGATTTTATGGACACTACAATCAATGATTGTTAGTGTTAGTAGACTGAAACCTTCGGTATACCTAGGACGACGGAACCATGGGATCTTGATCAGGTTTATTTCCATCGCTCACAACCAAAGTTAAAATTGTTGCACGCCTAAACATCAATTCATCCTTAATCGAGAGTTCTCTTCTACACATTAGAAGGGGTAATTAATAATGAGGGATTGCGCTCATAGGAAGTGGAACCTCAAAATTAAATAAACCCTGATGCCAATCATCGGGAGAAATCTGGTTAATTTGAAATCCAATCTACTTCGGAGAAAAATGGGACCTTAAGCTTGCGAAAGCTGGGTTTGTGCCATAGCGCCATCGTTTCCTATGTGAATAATTATAGACTCAAGTACCTTGGATCATATGAGTGGAAATTCGCAGTCATTCACTAAGATCTGCTCATGCAATGAAAGATATACTATTACGATTGCTGATGGAACTTAAGCATCGTTTGGGACGGCTTTCTTACTGCTTCTTAAAGCGGCTTTCTAGTAGAAAAATTTTAATTTTAAAACTAAGAAGCTGTTTTAATAAGCAATAAAAAAACCGTCCCAAATGGAACCTTAATCTCAAGTTGTGGTAAGAGGAACCATGAAGCTAGAAGAACCTTATTCTAAATTCAATTTTTTTTTCTTAATATATATTTTAAATCCTTATTTCTTGCTTCTTTTGGATATATGTGCTTCCTAGCCAAGCTTTATGAACTTGTTCTGTTGCTTTTGTATTGATGATTGTTAGTGCGTTTCAAGATTATGGTTGTGGCGGGCATTTGTACTTCTCAGAAGGTTCATATCATATTTTCTGCTTGTGCCACCTTTTTCTCTTAAGCAGTCAACGATCCACTTATCTTATTATGTGATGTTGAAACCATATCGTAATGATTTAATCGAGTTACCTTAGACATGACTAGGTTGTTTTATCAATGTTGATCTTGAAAACTTACACAAATTTCATCGATTTTTTTGTTAAACATTTGAGTCAGTGTAGTTCTGTTAATTTAAAGTGTGATTGGCTCTTATAGTTTGAATATTGTCCCAAGAAAAAACTACTACCATCTCTTGTTGTCATTGCTAGTAATTCTATAGATGTGTTTCTGCATGCTTAGCTAATTTTTGTTGTATGACCATGGTGATTCATTTGATCCGGCATCTTTTTCCCCATTTTTTCTAGTTGATTGACATAGCAAGGGAATATTTTGCGCTATCTGATTTAGAGAGGTGCACGCAAGCTGGTGGCTCACTTTCAGTACACATTGGTGATGCACTTTCTCCATCTGCAGATATTGAAGGAGGCTTTGCGGGTAACCTTTCAATGTTAAACATGATTTCAAGCATCATACCAGCTGTGGTTAAGATAACCATGTAAATCTGTGATGCCGCTTGATCAGAATTCTGTACATTAGCAATCTCTATGTTGATAAAGAACTAATCATTCAGCAATATCTGAACTAAAATTTTATTGATATCTTGGTTGCCTCCCTTAATACTAATCTTTGGTTTATAAAATTTACAGGAATCATTGTTGATTTGTTTTCCGATGGAAAGATTTTACCACAATTACAGGAGGTATAACTTGTACTATGCGTCCATTTCCTTCCACTTTCTACATTGTCTTTGTGATTAAAGCAACTTTCTAGTACAAAAATTAAACTTTTTCTACTAAAAAATTACTTTAAGAAGTAGTAAGAAAGCCGTCCCAAACGAAGCCGAAGTTAACCAATAGAAACACCACCCAACCAAAACTGAATGACACATGCCCATTTAGATTAGTCCACTGAGGAAATGCAACCCAAATGCATCTTAGTATAGCTTAGTAGTACTCAAATTTTAAGAATTTGACAGCCGGCCGCTTGGTCTTATGTGCATATTTCTTTTTTTGTGCAACAAACAGGTTACTACATGGTTGGATATTGAGAAAAAACTGATGCCTCATGGTCGTATTATGGTCAATTGCGGTGGTGCACAAGCTGAAATAACAGAAAGCGGATATATAAAAGTAAATGGAAATATTTCATCAAAAGGATCCTGGGTGAAGAATTCTACAATCCAAGCCATGTGTAGAGCATTTCCCGGCAAGGTGCAGTGCTGAATGTTCATTTTTACTTTGCATGCACACCACAAGAAATGAATGGCTTGCTTTTTATAGTTTTATGGTATGATCTGTTTTATTATTTGCAGTATATATTTGCTGGAATCTTTTATTGATATTTGATACAGTTAAGCTGGAAGAGAATGGACGGCCAAACAAGTGGAAACTATCTTGCTCTCACAGGGCCGGTTCTTGATTTGGATGCTTGGTCGGCAACCTTGCCTCATCCATTAAACGTGAACGTTAAAGATTGGAGGCCTTGCAAGCTTGCCGGATAAGTCTTCACTTTCTAAGCTTCTGTTCAATATTGATTGGTAGATTGTTTTTTTCTTTTTTTGAATTTGCAATTTGTTAAGGGGTTCGAACTTCTGCAACGAGTTCTACAACCTGGTCACTAATTTCTCATTTGCTGCTGGCAAAGCATGGTGCGTACAGGTATGACGTTTTTTGGGTAAGAATTTATTTTGATTCCCGAAACAATTTTATAGTTATTGGCATTTTTAGAATATATATATATATATATATATATATATATATATGTGTGTGCGCGCGCGCGCGCGCACTCTCTCTCTCTCACATTTGTAAATATATATACCCAGTACATCTCGAAATGATTCTATTTTGTTTTTCAAGAAGCACGGTATGATGAGATTGTGTATAGATAACATGGAGTTGAATAAAGTAATTATTAAGAACAAATATCCACTTCCAAAGATTGTTTATTTTTTTTATGAGTTAGCAAGAGTGTCTATATTTTCTAGAATTGATTTAAGATCTGAATATCATCAAATAAGTGTGAAGGGTAGTGATACCATAAAGAAAACTTTTGACCCAAGGTATGAACATTATGAATTTCTTTTGGTTTGACAAATGCCTTAGTAATATTTATAGGTATCATGGACAGAATCTTCAAATCTTATCATGCCCAGTTTGTCATAGTAATTATCAATGTTATATTGGTTTATTCCAATCATGGTGATGATCACATCAGTCAGTTAAGAATTATTTTAAGTTTTTTCAATAGAGCATTAATTGTATGTTAAATTTTTAAATATAAATTTTGGCTAAGAAATATTTTTTTAGTCATATCGTTAGTGGTGAAGTTATTTCAGTTGATGTTGAAAATGCATTAGTGGAATGGCCAAGGCTGACCAATTTGACTAAGATTCAAAGTTTTTTAACATTAATTAGCTATTATAGAAGATTTGTGAAGGAATCTTCACAGTTCCTTTATCTTAACTGACTAGAAAAAATGTTATATTTGATTGGACGTATCGTTAGTGGTGAAGTTATTTCAGTTGATCGTTTGCAGAAATATTATGATAAATTTATCAAAGAATGAGATATATTTTTGTGATGATTGGTTCCTTTGAATAGGGAGATCTTGATTAGTTTCCACCTCTTGTTGTTATTTATAGAAGGTTGTATTATAAGGCATTTCACTTTATTGTTCTTCTTGAAAAATTTTTAGATACGATCATTCTGAATATTTTAAAGCTCTTTTGGAACTAAGAAAATCATCTATTAATATCCTTATATTATGGAATAAGGGGAGCACATAAATAATCAAAATGTATCTTAACATACTTTTATGTAACCGTATCGATGTGCTTTTTGTATCCACAAATTTGTGTTTAGATAGCATTTTGATGAGGTGATCAAGAAAACTTACATTTAAACTGATTTAAGCTTAAATAATGGAAAACTTGTATCTCATTTTGATAATACAAGTCCCAAGTCTGGATAAAAAATATTGAGAGAACTTTAGAAAAATAATTTGGGCAGTTGTTATGAAAATTTTTCTGGTTCTGCCACTATAGGTCTAGGTGTGTGCGCTATGAAGTGAGATTAAAGGTTTGTAGTAAAATTTCAAAATAAAAAAGAAAACTTAATTTGTAATTAATTTCTCTTAATTTTTCCAAAATTTTAAGTAAAAACAGCTCTGTTTTGAATTGATTTCTCTCAAAATAAGTATTTTAATTTGAAAATGGCAAGTAATGCAAAATATTTAAGTTATTGCATTTTCTCTTCAATTAAATTATACCTATGAAATCTATTTTGGGTGTCAATATGCATACTATTAATTTACAATAAAAGAGAAAGTTTCAAAACCCGCAAAACATTAAGGTTTTGTTTGGGATGGTTATTTTTTTTGTTGATTTCAAAAAAAAATTGTATTAAAAAGGTGTTATAGAAAGTAGTAAGAAATATGTTTCAAATGAAGCCTACGACCGCTTCATTTAAAATTGGAGTCCTCTGAAATTTAAAATAAATTTCTTTATTAAAAAAATGTTATTTACTTTAATGTTTTTCGTTAAAAAAAAAAAAAAAACTCAAAATTTTAGTGGTCAAATCTATCTAAGGTGTATTATTTATATTCAAGTTATCAAGCCTCAATGAGTGTAATTCCTATTTAAAACACAAAATAATAAGAGAATTCTATTTTTGAAATGAGCTTCTCTCAAAATTTTAGTATTTTTTTTATTTTTCAGTGGAATAAAAAATACTTTTATTTAAAATGGGTAATCACATGTTTCTAATGTCTAATATAGCCTACACATTTAAGATTGCATACACTATAATATATATATATATATATAGCCTACATATTGATATGCATGTTATTAGACAACAATGAGATAAAATTTTATTCTAAAACTTCAAAATAATAACAAACCTCTATTGTGGAACGGGCTTGATGTGTGAGATGCCATGTCAACATATAATGAATATGATACAATGTAGATTCAATGCGGCGCAAGAAACTACACACATCATTTTATTAATGACCAATACAAGGCAAATATATAAGAAAGAAAAAAGCAGCTCTTCCTCGAATCCCTCTATCCAAGATTCTAACTCCATGCCCTTCCCAAATCCTAAGACTCAAGGCCTACTGGGTTGTCTTCCTAAATGAGGAGACTCTCTATTGACAAATAATTGTATTTTATCCCATTTTATTTCTCTTTATAAAATAGGACATGTTATTCACAACATGGGCTATTTTTAATTTGATATGGTACAATTTATGTATTACTTTTATTGTAGAAAAGCATAATTCTAAATGAGGAATTAACATGGTATGGAGCCTATTATTAATGCTACAAAAGTAGATTGGCATTTTTAGGTTATCATCATTATTGTGCATTTAGTGATCTTCTAAAGTCTAGAGTAAGTCTCTTGATGGCTACTGGAAGTCTTCTTAGGACATCTAGCTCTCAAAATTCATTGGGTTTTATCTCTTGGGTCGTCAAACTATTAACACTTGACTGTGACTCTTCCAAATTTTCCTGATATTCATTTTGAGCTCTTTTCTCTTCTTTAACCCCTCTCGATAAGAAGGATCCTAGCTTGAGAATTTCTCAAAACATCAAAGATCCTCTCAAAAGTTTCCTTATAAGCTTTCATGTTACAACAACTAGTCCTCATACCATTGAGTCACTTGATTTCATCATCATATGCCTCCTCTTTTAAAGGTAATTAACTCATGTAAATTAAGCTTAAAGAGAGGAAACATCTCACGACTTCTCTCTGAAGTGTACAACTATCTTGGACATAACTTCCCCTCATTATTGATTCCTTATAGTTTATTAGTACCATGATGTGTTGTCTTGATTCTTTCCTTAAAGGGTTTGTCCTCAATGCGCTAATCTTCTCAAACTCATAATAGGTCATCAAAAAAGGAAAAGACTTTTTACACCTTATCGTTTAGCATTGCAGCCTTGAATGGCTTCAAAATTTTCTTATTCATTGCTACATGGATATTCACGTGTATAAGAAAGTTTAATTTGTAAGTATTGTTCCTAGCCTTCTTTGAGATATAAAACAAATCATACTTCATTCATACTTCATGGGTTTCTTTTTTACCTATCACCTTTTAACATCTCATTTTTCATGTCAAGCTACAAAAGATATATGCATTCAAACTTCCTCTCTACTTTGTGGCAATCATGTTGATTCTTATACAACTTGTTGATCTTCTTAAGGTGTGTCTCTACCTCATAGTGAAATTTTAAAAACATGTGCTTAAATCTTAGAAATTTCAAACTTCTTCTTGATTATTTTGAAATTTTAAAATCTTAGTCTTACATCTTGCTTCTTGAGGTGAGTTATTGCTTATACCAAAACATCAAATTAAATGGATTTTGAGGAAAAACACCCAATGCAAGCCTTAAATGGCAGTCAACTTGTTGAGTTATGAATTGTCTCGCTAAAAGCAAGCTTGATATATGACAAAATTTTATCATAAGTCTTTGGATGCTTTACAATAAATTCATGCACATGTACAACAAAGTCTTGTTCACCACCTCTGTTTGACCATTAAATTGTGGATGGAAGGTGATACTTCTTGTTAGTGTCATAACCATCATAGCCCATAGTGCTTTCTAGAATGAGATAAGGAATGTGGAGTATCTAATAAATATGATTAAGCTTAGCTAATTGAAATGAACCCAAACTTTCTTAAAGAATATATGGTCACTTCTTCTCCTATGCTATTCTTCTTGCATGCCATGAGGATAATCATCTTCAAAAACTTGTCCATCATAATTAAAATATAGTTATGAACACAATGGGTTGACATTAGGTCTCCCCTCCCTCCAACAATTCTATAGATATGTTTTCTCATGATCGTGTCAACACAAGTGGAGGACTATATAATTCATGTATCATATTTGAGGGATTTGATATGTAACAAAGTAAAATGTATCCTCTCATAAACTTGGTTACATCCAAGTGCTTTCTTAACTAGTAGGTATATCATATAAATTTTACAATGTCTTATTTACCCCAAAATGTCCATCAAATTTGGAGGGGGCATACTTCTCATATTCAATATATATGGTCATCATCCTTTGGAACATAGAGCTAGTCCCCTTGTAGAGAAATTCTTTTTAAATAGTGTAATATTCTTTTTAAACATCCTCTAAAATTTATAAAAAGACATCATCCAATTTATAAGGATCAGTTCATTCTTTATGCCAAGCTAGTTACAATTGTATTAGGGCCACTTGAAGATGAGTGAACATACCAAGCATTTTATTTTGTAGCCCCTTCTTATATCGAATAACCAAGTTAAACATTTGTAGATATACCATCCATTTTATGTGTCAAGTTAGTTAAAGATTGGAATTTATTTGGAGGTATTGTAGTCATGTAATGGCATATGGTCTGTATAAACTATAGTCTCTTTTTCAAGCAGATAATATGTTTGAGGTAGATAAGATCATCTCGAGTCATTGTTGCTAGACTTCACTTATTGAGATCAAATTCTTCTTACTCCCCGAATTAAAAATGGTCTTAACAACCTCTTGATTCATTTGGATTTGTAAGGCAAATAGTTCCTCAAATTCACTCAAGTCAATTATTAACATTCATGTATCTTTCCCCTTTGACATTACCATTAATGTTGTAAATAAATTGACTTGAGTAGAATTTGAGGAACTATATGCCTTACAAATCTGTAAGGCAAATAGTTCCTCAAATACTATCTTTTTCATGCTAGTTTATTTATTTATTTTTATGGAATTTGAGCCGAGCATTAATACGACACAACCTAGTTTTGATATTTTATTGAAGTTTGTTCATCAAAATTTTTATGAGGTTTAAGTTAAATTGAGTTTGACAAATTATATGTTTCATATTGATGAATTGAATATATAACCTAATTATTAGACAAAATTGAATTTATAGATTTTAATTAAAAAAAGTATAATTCATAAGATATTATAGTTAATTGATGAAATCTATGTATTAATAAGAAAAGGTTTACATAAAAATATCTAGCTATATATTTAATATGTTCATCATACACATACATTTAATAATATACATATTTTTTTATGCATAGAACATATAAGAAAATTTATACAAAAACATATAATAAGTCATCAAATTAAATAAGAAATTAAGATATCATGTAATATGTATTTCATCAAGTTCTTAATATGCTATTTTTTAAATAAAAAATGAGCATATTTACAAGCATAAATGAACAAATGCGTCAATGTTAAAGTTTGTTCAATTATTTAAATACATATACATAATCATACACTATATAAATGAGTATCAAGCTATTTATCAAGTACACTTATTTGCTTACAACCTTAATTGAAATTAAGGAAAGTTTCAAATTTGAGCAATTTACTGACTCTAAAACTTGACCCTGCTCTATAGTGGAGATCTTAATTGAAATTAAGGAAAGTTTCAAATTTGAGCAATTTACTGACTCCAAAACTTGACCCTGCTCTATAGTGGACAAGGTTCTGAAAATCGGACCGGAAGAAAGAGAGGTTCACGGTTCGACCGGTTCGATCGGTCAAACCGGGGTCGAACCGGATGACGTAATAAATAATAATATTATTATAAATATTTAATAAAATTAACAAAATAAAGAAAGATAATAATCATATAATTTAATATAAATTATTGCTAATTTATATTACATATTTACATTTATTTTATAAATATAAATTATTTAAATATTCACAAATATAAAATTATAAATATAATATAATTAAATATTTTAATAAAAAATTATTTCATTTAGTAACATAAAAAAGTTTTAGAGGTGAAAAACAAATAAATTTTTAGAGCTATTAATAAAGAATCCAAATAAAA